ATCGGAAGTGGATACCGACAAAGGGAATATAATGGCGTTATGCAAATTTTCAGAATGATCGGCGTACTTTGATAAAATGCAGTACACACAAGAAAACTGACCCATACTGGATTTTATCAAAGTATGGCCAATCATTTTGAAAATTGATTGATTGCATAATGCTATAACTTTTCATTCTGAACAACTTTTCTTAATAACACTTTAGCGTAATGTGAACGGAAAAGGTAGTTTACCTAGAACTAAAATATTCCATATTGTAGAATTCAACGGTGCATCATCATTTGTGTGTTATTGTGCGAGGCGAAGCCGAGCAATGTGTTAACGGTTCTATACAAACGTGAGACTGGGTGCCATTTACATTAGGGTGTTATGCCCTCCAATTGCATACAGAAGCCAGTTTGTTCATATTTTGGCGTTTATTGGGAGACGCCGAGGGTTAGGACGATACGGTGTTTACCACCCGCACGTTAGTAAGGGAGTTATTGCATTGGGGTAAAAAATGACCCCCAACTTTTTTGTACGAAAATACACGTTTTGAAGCACCAGGTATCCGAATCAAACAAAATCTCTATGATGTCGGTCTGTCGGTCCGTCTGTACTCTCATTTCCGATTAAACGGCTTAATCGATTGGAACCAAATTTGATACACATATTCTCAGACATAAGAGGAAGAGATGAAAAGGTTTTGGGCATAATCACGCATGCGTAAGGTGTCAAAAATGTTAAATTAATATTTTGGCGAAACTTTTGCGTCGAATTGTACCAAATTTTGTAGATGTGTATATAGACACTTTGTCACAACCCGCACATTTACGTTGGTAGGGGAGGTATTGCATTGGAGGTCGGTCTGAATTCAAACAAATTTGGTACACATATTCCTAGACCTAAAAGGAAAATCTGAAAAGATTTTGGGCAGAAACGCGCATGTGCAGGTGTGCGGGTGTTATCTGTGCTGGCCACAGCAAATTTTTTACATTGGTCTCCTAAAGTGTCCGTTCATATTTTAGATTCCACGGCAACTTGGGTACATGCGTGAGGCGAGGCGGTGCAGCCGCCGAAGTCGAGCGATGTCTTCTTTTGTGTGTCAATGTGCGGAGCAATGTGTGAACGGTTGTATATAAGCGTGAAACTGTTTAGCATCTAAGTACATTAGGGTTTCATGTATGTTGCGCAGAACGCAACTTACTTATTTACGGAGCAATTTGCACGAAACTTTGGTGTTAGGTCCTTCCACAGAGTTGTATATAATAAATAGAGACAGTGTTGTTGCATAAAATTCACTCCAATTGGATCTTGCGCAGGCCGTTGACGAGTGTGCGCACTAACCGGATGAAGATATAGTGACCAATAAACAACGTAGGTGCGAGCAAAACAAACGCATTTCACGCACCGCGAATGCGCCACAACGCCTTGGCCGTTAAAACTATATAAGTATGTGACCACTGTAGTTGGAGTTAATTTTGCAACGCGCAGGTCCTGTGTACAGCTCCTCTATTTACTATATACGAGTACAATTCTGTGGGTCCTAACAAAAACAAATGAAATGCGCTTTTCAAAACCCGTATTGCGCATGCGGAGAGCGCAACTGTCTTATTTATGCAGCAATTTGAACGAAATTTGGATGGTAAGTCCATCTAATAAAAGCAAATAAAACGCATACGCAAAAAGTCGTGTTGTGCGCAAAACGCAACATTCTTATTTTCGGCGGTATTTGTGAGAAATAAACTCACTCTAGCGGAGATTTAAAATGCAAATCATTTTGTACCACCTATAGGATGAGATTGCTAAAAAGAGAGTAATCAAATATATTAGTTCATTTTGAGGCCGAAATCAAGTTTCTTCTTCTTTTTTTTCGCCTTTTACAATATTCTAACCACACAGACACGTTCAAACTACATTGATCAAAACAAATCAAGCAAAAAAACAAAAAATTGACAAACCGGTAAACCACACAAAACGGCGATTGTAATTAAACGCCGTGGATCGGGCCGGAACGAGCGAAGCGAGTTCCGTTACCGATCTAGTTACGATAAATAGTAAACATCAATAGAAGAACAAAACTGCCATGTAATTAGTCATAAACGCTTAAAAATTGAGAATTGAAAATAATAAAGTATTTCTAAATAAAATTGGGTTTTTAGTGGTATGTCTATGACTTGATTAATTTAGAAACATAGTAGGTACCTATATTGGCAAAATACGAACGGAAGTTTTGCTGTTTCAGCTGGAAAAGAAATTAACCCTTAACTTTCTTGGATTATACCCCAAAAAATCCATAGGCTTTGGGCAGGTTTTTGGAATTGGAAGAATCTGGTCCAAGTATGAAAGGCATTCAGTTGAGTCCTTGTAGTTTTCTGTCTTACGACTTATCACCATGTATTTGAACCATTGATCCTCCTTTACTCCTTTACCGGATTGTATGTCATATTAATGATACTATCAACATTTGATATTTGATTTTTTCAAATATGAAATAGGTTATAGTCTGTCGAAACAAACAATAGCATTTTATTCCGCCTTAGCGTATGCGTACTTTTTTTATGGATAATGACCAGATGGATTGACAATGGTCCCATGGTCCCACGGAAATCAACTTGTATGGGATATTACATGTGTGAATACCCTATGCCCATCCCATCTCCTTTAAGTTTCGAAAACTGCTGGATGAGCTGCTAACAAAGCAGAAAAAGCCAAACTACAAAAATATTCAAAACTGCCCGATAATTACCAACTGATTCCTATAAGATACGAAACAATTGGAAATTGTGGAAATCAATGCAAAAACCTAATCAAATTACTAGGAACAAAAATTTAAAAAAATACTCTAGAGAACCAATCATGGAATATCTAAAACAAAATATG